ACATGACCGCAATGGCAAACGAGGTGGTGGAACAGCGATTTTTGTTCGAGATGGTATTCCCTATAGACACCTAACGGACTTGTTTGACGGGGTAAACGAAGCTTGCTGGATTGAAATAAACCGTGCTAAATGTAAAAAGTTAATCGTTTGTTGTGTGTATAGACCGCCAGATTATTGCTGTGACTCCTTGATTGACTATTTTAACACATCTCTTTCAAAATTGCCTGCTGAAACTGAAGTTATAATTCTGGGAGATTTTAATGCCGATTTCTCAGCCGAGAAGAATACTGCCGCGTATAAAGCGAAGCAGAAGTTACAAAGATTTGCAAACCTGAATGATTTTGAACAATTGATCAAAACTCCCACTAGAATTTGTAACCAGACGAGAACTCTGATTGATTTAGTTTTTGTCAATAATAGTCATCGTGTTGTTGAAAGCGGAGTCATTCACTCGGCAATTAGCGACCACTCTATTGTTTATTGCACTATAAAATCTGGTGTTCCCAAAGCTCCTCCAAAAACAATTGAATATCGCTCTTACCGCACATTTGACAAGAACTCTTTTATTCAAGATCTTAAGTCAATTGACTGGGATATAATAGACGAAATTCAAGATCTAGATGCTGCTGTCGAAACATCGAATACACTCTTTTCTGATGTTGCTGATAAACATGCACCTATTAAAAGGAGCCGCATCAAAGGAACCAAAACACCCTGGTTGACGGCTAAACTTAAAGACGCGATGCGAGATCGTGATTACCATCATAGAAAGGCTATTAAAAGTAACTCTGAATTTCACTGGAACATGTACAAAAAATTAAAATGCCTTGTTACCAAACAAGTTAAGAAGAGTAAAGCCGATTATTATCTCGAATTAATTAACAGAAACAAAAGCAATTCTAGTGGACTATGGAAAATACTCAATGAAATTACATCACGTAAATCCACATCGCCAGTCACTTGTATTGAAGCGGACGGCGTAACCTACACGGACTCACAATCCATTGCTGAAGTCCTGAATGATTATTTTTCTTCTATTGGATCGAAACTCGCTGCTAAGATAACTCCTGGTCTAAATTACATCTGGAAAAACCCTTCTTTGACTGTTGATGCTAATCCTGTTAGTGGTTTCAACTTCCAACCTGTAGAAAAAGCGTTTGTCCGTACAGAATTAAATCGGCTAAAGACCAACAAAGCCATAGGACTTGACAAGATTAGCGCGCGTCTTCTAAAGGACTCTGCCTCATTAATAGCACCAGTTTTAACAAAGTTGTTCAATAGGTCATTGGAGTCGTCGAAATTCCCGTCGATCTGGAAATTTGGTAAAGTCACTGCTCTATTTAAATCTGGAGACAGATGCGATTCTGGAAATTATAGACTGATCACTATTCTACCCACGGTCAACAAAGTCTTAGAGAAGGTTGTACATCACCAAGTTTACAAATACCTTGTGGATGAAAAGATTCTATCGCCAGTGCAATTTGGTTTCAGACCAAATCTATCAACCGAAGTCGCTTTGATACATTTTACTGACTCGATTCTTGATAATATGGACAAAGGCGCTGTCACTGGAGCAGTCTTTTTGCACCTATCAAAGGCCTTTGACACGGTGAACCATTCTATACTATTTTCAAAATTATCGAAGGCTGGATTTACTGATGCCACTATAACATGGTTCAAATCATATCTATATCAGAGAATACAGGTAACAAGAGTGGATAATGCTACCTCTTCTGCAAAGTATGTCTCAGTTGGAGTTCCACAAGGGAGTGTCCTTGGACCACTCCTATTTATCCTTTACGTGAACGACTTGCCGTCTTGTATTAAGAAGTGTAAAGTGACTATGTATGCAGATGACACGGTTCTTTATTTCTCTTCCTCTACGTTGTCGGAACTTGAGGAAAATTTGAATGCTGACCTTGAAATCCTTTGCAGATATTTAAATGACAATCATTTAACTTTGAACGCTGAGAAAAGCAAATTTGTAATCTTCGGCAGCACGCGTAAACTCAATTCATTCCGTGAGTTTTCATTAGAGATCAACGCACATAACTTGGAACGTAGAGACACCTTCAAATACCTTGGCATTAAACTTAATCAAAATATGTCTTGGTCGGACCAGATTGATGCCCTTAGCAAAAAAGTCAGCCAACGACTTGGAGTTCTGCGTCGTGTTAAGTATTTGCTGCCTCTACATGGTCGTTTGGCGATATATAACAGTCTCATTTTACCGTTATTTGATTATGCAGATATTGTGTGGGGGGGACAAGAACAATAAAGTCCTAATGCATAATCTCCAGGTTTTGCAAAATAACGCAGCAAGAACTATACTGGATTATCCCAAATACTTTTCCAGTACCGAAGCCCTCGCACAGCTAAATTGGATGCCTCTATCAGAACGTCGACGCCAACACCGTTGTATTGGTATTTATAAATGTATAAATAAGTATATAAAATATCAATTCAACCTAGTTCAAAACGTTGAAATTCACTCCCACAACACACGCCGCCGTCAGGATTTACATCTTCCACGCTCGCGTACTAACTGGGGAAAACAACGATATATATATCAAGCAGTCGTTGATTGGAATAACCTTAATTTAGACCAAAGACAATCGAACAATTTGACTTCTTTTAAGAACTCTATATAAGAACTCTATATAAGAACTCTATATAAGAACTCTATATAAGAACTCTATATTAATTTAGACCAAAGACAATCGAACAATTTGACTTCTTTTAAGAACTCTATATACGATTTTATGCTGATATAATTTTAAACATACTTTTTTATATATGCTATTATAATGTAGTTTTATTTGTATTTTAATTGATATCGTAGGACCTGCCTGAAAATCACCTTGTTGTGAGTGTAGCTTCCTACTGAAATATTGTCATAATAATAATAATAATAATAATATTCACAGCCCGGTGAAGAAGCGACCTAACCCATGCCGTTTTGCGTGACCAAGGCTCAAAACTGTCAAAACGGGTGTACTGACCTGTGTGTGTTGACTTCCGAAAAATATCAATGCCGGAGTTGGAAATTTCTAAATCTAAAAAATGAATTTTGCCGTTCTCAAAATTATCTACCGTGAATTTCAGATTTTTGTCAAAACTGTTAAATTTTTTCAAATCAAAAGGAATGTCTTTAGGCTTGATCAAAACAAGAGTGTCGTCTACATAGCGGCGACAAAATGTTATAATTCCAGTCTTTATTAAATCATTAACAATGGCTTTTTCAAATTCAGTTAGTATTATATTTGCTAAGACCGGAGCTAAACAAGAACCCATAGAAACACCGTCGGTTTGCTCATAGAAAATGTTGTCAAATGAAAAGGCTGTTTTCGTGGAGCAGTCTAACAAGAGCTTTTTTAATTTAAGGTACATTTGGTGAGCGTGGTATTGATTAATTTGTCTTCAAAAACACGTTTTAATATTATGTCGATGGTTCTTTTTAACGGCACATTAGTGAAAAGTGACACTACATCAAAGGAAACAAAGCGATAATCCTCATCGAAAAGGTTTTGAGGAATGGTTTTAATTGCTGAAACCGCATGAAAAGAATCGCGTAAATTGTAATCATTTTCAGTCAGCGGATTTAAAAGAGAGGAGAGAAATTTGCCGACATTGTAATGTGGTGTGCTTATTGTGTCAATTATAGGCCGAAAAGCCGGAAGGTCTTTGAAAGATTTGTGTGTCTTAGGCATGCCATGAGCTCGACCGAAAGAGGCTGTTTTGGGCTGCATAAATTTGACTTCTGACTCAGAAATTTCGTTCTGTTTACGTAACGTCAGTAAGTAGTTGTGAAGAGTGTTCAGTCGAGTGCTAGTAGGATCTTCGTTAAGGCGAGTGAATTTGGATTTGTAATCAAAGATAGATCTAAGCGACTTAGTGTAATCTGAGCGGTTTAAAATAACTATGCCATTCCCTTTGTCAGGCTTAAGAATGGCGAAATCCTTTGACAATGCACTTAAAATACGTATTCTTCTACGATCAGTAAAATATTGTTTCAATTCTAGGTCTAATCAGTTATACGTCAAGGATCTTAAAGCGTTCTTAACTCTTTCTTTAGTGAAGAAACCTTCTTTCCAAATTTGCTTCCTTTCTAGCTGATCGTAGATGTCTTCTGAGACTGCCATCAATTCAAGACTGTTAGGTCGTGTCGCTAATCCGTGTCTAAGTCCGAGTTTGAGAATTTTAATCTGTTCAGCTGTTAGTGGTTTTCCAGATAAGTTAACAATAACTTCGTTAGGGTTAGTTTCAAGTTTCCCAGACGCTGTTTTCATGTCCAGAAGTCTTTGTAGTTTTTGGGAATGTCGTGTAGTGACGGTTCACTGAAAACACGATTAGTTTTGCCTTCATCCATGTCGTTTTTGTGAAAGATTGCGTTCTTAAGTTCATCAGTGGTCTTGCGTAGGTGAGAAATGTTCGTGTTCCTTTCATTAATAGCATCATTAAGTAATAGCTTATGAATTCGTTGTTGTTTCTTCTTCCGTTTCATTTGTTTGATGTTTCTCCAACGGATGAACTTAGGGTAGACATCAGACTCTTTACATCGTCGTAAAAAAGCGAGGTCGAGTTCAGCCTTCATAAGTCGACGTGAAGATCGTTGGTACTGGATAGCGAGCTTATGAGTTGTAGGGTCGCTATGTCAGAGATTTGTCCAAAAACCATTACCAGCAGACAATTTAATAAAATACAAGAAAAAACATACTCCGAAGAATAACATCTTGTAAACTCAAGATATGAGCTATAACACAAGACAACAATTTTGCGGTGATATTTCAACTCTATTTCAAAGTCATTGTCAAACCAGAATAAGCTATTTACAAACTTGTTATCATATTATATACAAAGAAACAGGAAGAGATGAAGTATTAGAAACATTACACTATTGACATACAATGATACTAAATTAAGAAAAGACCACGAGTTCTTTAGACGCTCTTAATCCATTATTAAGCACGGGCTTTCTGTATTTAATATACAGAGCTTCAAGGAATAGGAGGTTGGAATTTGTGTGCTTAAGAGTGTGAAGAGTTTGAGTGTTAGTCTGGATGAGATTGTGAAAAGAGAGCAGTGTGTCTAGTTTGACTGTGTCACTGTCATTTATGTCATTAAGGTTGTCAAACATGTGGTTCAAATTAAGGATGAAATTAGCATGTTCACATTCCGACAAATGTTTTGAAATCGAACTTTTTTGTGGATACCACATTACAATGTTGCACCACATTACAATGTCGGCAAATTTCTCTCCTCTCTTTTAAATCCGCTGACTGAAAATGATTACAATTTACGCGATTCTTTTCATGCGGTTTCAGCAATTAAAACCATTCCTCCAAACCTTTTCGATGAGGATTATCGCTTTGTTTCCTTTGATGTAGTGTCACTTTTCACTAATGTGCCGTTAAAAAGAACCATCGACATAATATTAAAACGTGTTTTTGAAGACAAATTAATCAATACCACGCTCACCAAACGTACCTTAAAAAAGCTCTTGTTAGACTGCTCCACGAAAACAGCCTTTTCGTTTGACAACATTTTCTATGAGCAAACCGACGGTGTTTCTATGGGTTCTTGTTTAGCTCCGGTCTTAGCAAATATAATACTAACTGAATTTGAAAAAGCCATTGTTAATGATTATTATAATTGTTAAGTTATGTTATGAAGTATTAAGCTTAAGTAACCGCTGACCACAGTGACAGTCAGAAGTTTTGGTGAAACGTAGAACGAACGTATTTGCACGTATATTTCCAAAAGACAAACGTATAGAAAGGGTAATTTATAGACTTTGATATTCGTTAATAGTTCTAGTTTATCTTTTTATGTGTTGTTTATTTATGTATGTAATCATTTCTTTTGTAGACAATCGAACAATAATATAATATAACATACAAAACCGTTTGTTGTTGTGAACATTGTTACGACCCTTTACACGTACCAGAGCTATCGAGGGCGTTAGAGTTTACGAGAACAACCTTTTGGTCCTTCGAGCCGGATTATCAACGCCCTACGAACTTATTGAAGCGTAAGTTAAAGTATTTCAAAGCAGAAAATCGTATTTGAACACGAATATCACAAATATATGCAAATTAGTTTTGTCGTGGATGTGATGAACTTCATGTAACATCAATATTGTGTATTGCGAAAAACTATATTGAAAACCCGGCGAAAATAGTAAATTATTATGGCTGAAGGATTGCAGGATGGTACAATGGAACCTACCTTACGTGAACTACGATGGTTTCGTCGCAAACAAACAGACGAATTGCGAACTCTAATAGGAAAACTAAAGGAACTTGTTATGGAGAAAGGGAGTCGCACATTATTACGTTATGTGATGTCATCGACAGAAAGGGCATTAGAGGAAGTAGCTAAAACGAACAATGATTTAATAAAACAAGTGGGTGAAAAGGAAAGTGCAACAGAAATAGAGTGGTTCAAGAGGCTTGAGACTGAAGTGTATAATCAAATAATGGAAGCACATGGACACTTGATGGAACGGAAGGATGAACCATCATCGGAAGTTGTATCACAGAAGGCACCCAGTGTATATTCAACAACAAGTTCAAAAATTGAAGCAAGGAAATCTGCTGAACGAACAAAGCTCGAATTGGAAAGTTTACAACGAAAGAAAGAGATAGAATTGCAAAGAGAGAAAGAAAAGAATAGACTAGAAGAAGAAAAGTTACGTCTACAACATGAGCAAGAACAACGGAAACAATCTATAGAACAAGAGGAACGAGAGTTGATAATGCAAACTGAAGCCGAATTAGCTGTTGAAGAGGCACGGACAAAGCATTTTACCGCACAAATGGAGCTGCAAGTTGAAGAACAGATAGAAGATCGAGCGAGTTGCCATGGTGATTGGAATGGAAGAGTTAGCCCGTCCATAGCTCAAGTGGAAGTAACCTCTCAGCAGAGAACGAAAGTGCATTGTGAACCATCAACAATTCCAGGCCCAGCAACCACACAGAGTGACGGTGTTCTTGTCAAACTGGCAGAAGCAATTTTCAAGACAAGAGATCCGCAGATTAAGAAGTTTGACGGAACCCTGAGCAAATACACAGCCTTCAGAGCAACATTCAAGAAGTTGGAACAGGAAAAACATTAAACCAAGGATGAGCTTTTGGACTTATTACTAACACATACAACTGAAAAGGCGGAGAATGCTCTTCGGGGTATACTTCCGGGCAGCGGAAAATATACTAGGGCTTGGGACATCTTGAAAGAACGATTCGGTGAACCAACCCAAATCATCCAAACATATGATGATGAATTGCGAAAATTTACTTCTGTCAGTGAAAGAAACGTGGAGCAGCTGAGGTCGTTGGCGGAAACAATTTCCAGTTTGGTGGCGGTGTTCGAGTCACTGGGGAAGGAAGCCGAAATACAATCTAGTTACCATGTGAGAGAAGCTGTCAGGAAGTTACCACCTTCTTTAAAGTTAGCATGGGCAAGATACGAAGGGGATGATCCAAAGCGAGCTACGCTGGAGACCTTTAGATCATGGCTAGAAAGACAAGCCAAGATATGGGAACGTGCATTTGTGGACCCTCTGCAAGAAAGAGGTCAACGTGAAGCAAAACCTGCCTACAGAAGATCCAACTACAGAACTGATGCCCATCACACGGAACAAAGGGCGTGCCCTTTCCACGACAGAGGACACCACCCACTGGAACAATGCCGAATGTTCAAATCATTGAGTAACAAGGACAAGAAAAAGATCATTAGAGACAAAGGACTTTGTCTAAACTGTTTTGGAAAGCACATCCGAAAGCAATGTAAGGAGAAACTGAAATGTACTGTCGACAATTGCCAGCAGAATCATCACTACCTACTCCATGGCGTTGGTATTTATCCCCGGTTTCCTGAAAGAAGGTACAAACCACCAGATGCAGACCTGACAGGAGAACAAGGCTTCGGGCCGAAAACTAGTCAAGAGAAGAAAAAGGAAGAAGTTCCAGTCAAAGAAAACCAATCTTCCAATGAAGTACATACCGGACGAGTTGCAGCAAGTCAACAAAGAATTGTCCATCAGATCATACCTGTTATTCTGTATGGGCCGAGTGGGAAAAGGAAGACGATGGCAATGTTGGACAGTGGATCAAACGCGACACTTATTAAGGAAGAACTAGCCCACCAATTAGGATTCTCGGGGCAAACAAATCAGTTAGTACTGGGAGGAGCAAATACAGACGAAACGGTCAAGTCATTCGTAATACGCAACCTGACAATATCTGGCACAGGGAGGCGAAGAAGTAAATACACCATCGACAAAGTTCTTACGGTTCCACAAATGAATAATCCCACATATGCAGTTGATTGGACAGCAGAAACAAGGTTTGATCATTTGAAGGACCTTGATCTCCAACCCGTTGATGCGGCTGAAGTGCAATTGGTAATTGGAGTGGATTCTTATTTCCTTCAAGCCCCGCTGGAAACGCGAGAAGGACCCCGTGGAACTCCAGTCGCCATCCGGACACGACTTGGTTGGTTAGCTTTTGCAACTCTTCCATCGGAGGATGATTCTGATGTGCATGTTCGATGTCTTGATGTGGAACACACAACTGAACTTGGAACAAACAGGGACTTTCAATGGCAACTCGAGCAGTGGATCAACATGGAGACCATCCAACCTGTGAGAAAGAAGACTGAAATCCGTTCAGTAGAAGACCAGAAAGCATTAGATATCTTGCACACAACTACAAAAAGATTACCATCGGGTGACGCTTTTGAATCAGGAATTCTGTGGAGAGATCCGGAGGTCGTGCTTCCGAACAATCGAAAGGCAGCAGAAGCGCAGCTACATGCACTCGAACGCCGCTTAGATCGTGATCCGCAGCTGAAAGAAGCTTATCAGGCATCTATCACCAATGACGTGGAGAAGGGGTACATAAGGAAGCTAAATAAACATGAAGTACAGGCGACAGTCAGTAACAGAATAAACTACTTGACGCATCATCCCGTGAGAAACCCAAAGAAGCCGGGCAAAGTACGGCGCGTGTACAATGCGGCAGCGAAATACGATGGGAAGTCTTTAAACGACTTTATTTATACAGGTCCAGATCTACTAAATCCACTGTTTGGTGTGTTACTCAGGTTCAGACAAGGACGTATAGCACTATGCTCAGACATTAAAGACATGTTCCTGCAGATGCGAGTAGTAGAAGAAGACCTTCCAGCACTACGGTTCCTATTCAGAGATTTGAAAGATGAAGAGCCAAGTGTATACCAATGTTTAAGAAGACCTTTTGGTGAACGCTCAGCACCCACCTGCGCCAATTACATAATGAAACGAAATGCGGAGGACTTTCAACAGCAATACCCAACAGCCGCTGAAGCTGTGAGAAAGAATCTCTATGTCGATGATTCACTGAATTCGCTAGACGATGAAGACGAAGCCGTTGCCCTACGTCAAGAACTAACCGAGCTTATGAAACACGGCGGTTTCACTCTCACGAAATGGTTAAGCAATAGCCAAACTGTGATGAAAGAGATCCCAGAATCTGACAAAGTTCCAACGAAGGAAGTGAAACTTGGTGACTTACCGACATCCCAAGCTCTTGGTGTGCATTACAACGCTCAGACAGACAGCCTGCACCTATCAGCTCCAAAGAAACCTCCAGCCAAGACACCACGGGAGATCCTAAGTCGCATTGCCTCAGTCTGGGACCCACATGGATGGCTAAGCCCGTTCACAATTCGAGGACGAGTACTTCAGCAGCAACTCTGTTTGGAGGAAGTAGGATGGGATACCGAGATTCCAGAGGACCAGCTCAGAGAGTGGAAAAAATGGGAAGACGAAGTCCAGGCAGTCGAAAGCATCACAGTTCCTAGATGCTTGAGATCCTCTGATGACGCCCCAAGTGAGGTACAACTACATGTATTTTCCGATAGTTCGAAACAAGCAAAATGTGCCGCAGGTTATCTACGCTTGTCCTATCCTAATGGCAACGTACATTGTTCCCTCGTCGCCGCCAGATCGAGAGTCGTCCCCAAGAAGAGAATGACCATACCACGCCTGGAATTAGACGCAGCTTGCATGGCGGTAAAGTTGGCACTCACGTTGATTGAGGAACTAGATTATCACATTACAGCGGTGACATTCTGGATTGATTCTATGGTCGTGCTTCACTGGATTCACCAACCCAGCAACAGGTATCGCGATTATGTTGCTCATAGAATCGTTGATATTGGAGAAGATCTCAAGAAGTTAGAAGCAGATGGTGAAAGAAGGGTGCAAGTAAAGTATGTTCCAACAAGTGCGAACATCGCCGACGCCGGCACAAGAGGGCTTAAACTTCCAGAAACAACATCTGAAAGCACCTGGCAATGTGGTCCTGAGTTTCTTTATCACGCTGAAAGTATGTGGCCCCGACGTCCTGACGAGGGGGAGGTAATCGACGAAGAACCGGAACTAAGAAAACAAGCCCATACACGGTCGACCGCAGTTGAGGAGTCAAAACAAGCAATCATGAACTTAAATCGATTCTCGTCTTTCGAGAAAGCAAAGAGAGTAGTCGCAAACGTCCTAAAGTTCATCGCCCTGACGCGTGAAAAGGTGAACGCGAGAAAGATTGGATCAACCCAAAGCCTCACAGCCGACAACTTGCACCAAGCGGAAATGCTATTACTTCAACAAGCACAGATCGAAAGCTTTCCTCACGAAGTGGAAGCGTTAACTAATGGCAAACCAATCGGCAAGAATTCACGCCTAGTCAAGCTCTCGCCGTTTATCGATGCAACCGACGGATTAATAAGAGTCGGAGGCCGTATACAAGACGCCCCAGTAACATACGACACCCGTCACCCAATAGTTGTCGATGGAAAATCGGAGATTGGTCGCTTAATCATTACCGAATCTCATCACCAACTTAGTCATGGTCCAACCGACTACGTATTAAGCTCAATAAGGACACGCTATTGGCTAGTGAATGGCAGATCGGAAATCAAGAAATATGCAAATAGATGTCTCTACTGCAAAAAGCGAAGAGTAAAGCCGATGCCACCTCGCATGGGGAATCTGCCCAGAAGACGCCTTACACCGTTCTTACCTCCGTTCATGCACACCATTGTTGACCTGTTCGGTCCAATCTACATTAAGCAGCGTCGAAGTGAGTTAAAGAGATGGGGCGTGTTGTTTTGCTGTGCAAATGTAAGAGCCATTCATTTGGAAGTAGCCGAGACACTTGAAACTGATGCGTTCTTGAACTGTCTCACTCGTTTTGCGAATCGCCGTGGCTACCCCAAAACAATCACTTCAGACCGAGGTACAAACTTTGTAGGAGCAGAGCGAGAGATGCGTGAAGGATGGGAGCGGCTTGCACACAATCGGATAGAGCAGAACCTTACCAAGCACGGAACTGATTGGAATTTTCATCCACCAAATGCCCCTCATATGAATGGAGCGGTAGAAAGATTGGTAAAATCCTGCAAACGAGCTCTTCATGCTATTCTTTTAAATCGACGCGTGGACTCAGATGTCTTGCATACTGCATTGGTAGAGGTGGAAGGTATCCTTAACTCACGACCGATTACACCAGTCAGCTCCGATCCACTTGACCTCGAGGCGCTGACTCCCAACCATATCCTAATCCATCGACCCAACCTGAATTCACCCTTCGATGTAGTGAGTGATCGTGAGATAAACTCGAGGAAGAAATATCGGCAAGCACAAGTCCTCGCAAATATGTTTTGGAATCGATGGCTTAAAGAGTACCTTCCATTATTAACAAAAAGAAACAAATGGACAGACGAAGTGAGAAATTTGGAGAAGGACGACTTAGTACTGGTTGTAGAACCTAATGTATCGCGTGGCATGTGGCTCACCAGGAGAGTTTTGCGTTCGTTCCCTGGCAAAGACGGAAGAGTCCGAAGTGCAGAAGTGAAGACCCTGTCTGGAAATTACGTTAGACCGGTAGCAAGATTGTGTCTCCTGGAGGAAAACAAAAGTGACAACTCTGAAAACTCAATCACCCAATAAATGGGATGTCTGAGTTGAGGGGGAGTGTTAAGTTATGTTATGAAGTATTAAGCTTAAGTAACCGCTGACCGCAGTGACAGTCAGAAGTTTTGATGAAACGTAGAACGAACATATTTGCACGTATATTTCCAAAAGACAAACGTATAGAAAGGGTAATTTATAGACTTTGATATTCGTTAATAGTTCTAGTTTATCTTTTTATGTGTTGTTTATTTATGTATGTAATCATTTCTTTTGTAGACAATCGAACAATAATATAATATAACATACAAAACCGTTTGTTGTTGTGAACATTGTTACGACCCTTTACATGTACCAGAGCTATCGAGGGCGTTAGAGTTTACGAGAACAATAATTATAACATTTTATCGCCGCTATGTAGACGACACCCTTGTTTTGATCAAGCCTAAAGACATTCCTTTTGTTTTGAAAAAATTGAACAGTTTTGACAAAAATCTGAAATTCACAGTAGATAATTTTGAGAACGGCAAAATTCATTTTTTAGATTTAGAAATTTCCGACTCCGGCATTGATATTTTTCGGAAGTCAACACACACAGGTCAGTACACCCGTTTTGACAGTTCTGAGCCTTGGTCACGCAAAACGGCATGGGTTAGGTCGCTTTTTCACTGGGCTGTGAATATATGTAGTAACTTGACTTTTATCAACAAACAAATCTCTATGATTTCCAAATTTACGTCTTGGAATGGCTTTCCTGCCAATGTGCGGTTTTCAATTATTCGCAAACTAAAGGCCAAGCATGAAGTCAACTCTAGCGCGGATTGTAGCAAACACAACATCAATGGACTACCATCTCAAAATGATTTTTCTGATGATACCAGACTTAAAATTTGGATAAGAATACCTTTCTTGGGGAAGCAGGGAGAATTTTTGGTTAAAAAGCTTCTTAAGAAAATACAGCGGAATCTCATACAGCCGGTCAAATTTGTCGTAATTTATGACACTAAGAAGATATCATATTTCTTGCCTAAAAAAGACAAAATTCCTAATTCTTCGCGTAGCAATATTGTTTATGAATTTACTTGTCCTGGTTGCAACAGTTCCTACATAGGCAAAACAGAAAGAAATTTGGCTACTCGATTATCGGAACACTCAGATCCACAAAAAAGTCCCATTTCAAAACATCTGTCGGAATGTGAACATGCTAATTTCATCCTTAATTTGAACCACATGTTTGACAACCTTAATGACATAAATGACAGTGACACAGTCAAACTAGACACACCGCTCTCTTTTCACAATCTCATCCAGACTAACACTCAAACTCTTCACACTCTTAAGCACACAAATTCCAACCTTCTCCTATTCCTTGAAGCTCTGTATATTAAATACAGAATTGCAGCTTCTGTGTGGAAAGTATCCTTTAATCAATAAATTGTATTGTTCACATGTGTTTGTGATGATGTATGATTTTGACATTTTGTGCAGGTTTCCTTAACATTAGATTTAAGATTACTAGCTGATGAGGTCTCCCAGGAACTGGCTGTTGGGAATATTCATATGACCACTCGCATGAAAGTCAATAGCCATTCCCTACATACTAATGATAAACAGGTAAAGGTGAAATACTTTTGAGAGATTTACAAACAAATGTTAGTGACTGACCTAACAGAAATTTTACTTGCCATTGTTCTAGGTTCGTGATGATACATCGCATAGTCAACAAGAAGCATCTGCTACAACAAATGGTAAATTCTAAGGATCTCTAATATCAGTTGAGGGAGAATTACTACTTTGCTATGCATGTTCTCTGTTTATTTGTGTGTACTGAGTGGGAATATTGAATAATTGTTAGAGGAAGAAAGGTATCTCAGCTTAAATAACGAAGTAAACCATACATTAATTGCTAACCGCTAATCTGTTACTTCAGCGTTTCTATAAATTATTATTCCTTGCAATAACTGGAGCCCAAGCGAACATCCCAACTCCACGTATATATTGAGCGAGTTTTGTTTCCTAACTTTGTGAGTTGCAAGTTTAATGGTCTGGACTTTGTCAACTAATTACATGTGAACATTTGTTTTGTAGTTTAACATGCATGGGCAAGTGTCCATTTTGTAATTTAACATGCATGAGCAAGTGTCTAAAATATTGAATATTTGACAATAGATTTCAAACAACTTATAATTGTATTTTCCTTGCCATTATAAGTCTGTCCGCTGTGTAACACCAGTCCCAAATTCATGATGTGCTGTCAGCTGTCTCAACCAATGAGAATTAGCTCGTTTGTTATGTGGAATGGTATGTGATTATCATATTCGTTCAATACTCAGACGATAGTTCATGCAGTGCTGTCTCTACCAATGAGCAGGCCAGTTCTATGCACTTCGACGAATAGATCGTTCGTTTAATGAGGCTATACGTTCGTTTTCATTGAGTTGTGCATGTTAACTATTACTAATACACTTTTGTGAAGATGTAAGAAAAATTTACCAGAAATGTCTATTATTTAGGTTGTGTATTCTCTTTCCTTGTTAGTAATTCTCAGTTTAAGGAGGCCTCTGTCTAACAAGGCCTCAATAAATTAAAGGAGGCCTCTGAATATAATTTAAAGGTAAATGGTTACTTTTTCCTAAAACAAAGATATTTTAATTACATTTTTTTCAAGCACAAGACATACGTGAAGTCCACATAACCAATGTTGAAAGAGTGTCTTTTCCCTATGTGATACCAAACTTTCCAGTCTTGACAGTTGATCTAATTAAGGTGAAATTGGTCTTGAACGGTAAGGAATGTCAAGGTTTGATTAATGCAAAAGAGCATTCAAATGCAAGACCTGGTATATATATGTGCACATCACATTGTGACATAATGATTGATGGGATGAATTATGTAGTGCTTTGGCAGCTAGACAGTTACAAGCCATTTCACAAACCTGTTGAGCATCAGCCAACTCAGCCAAGACCAAGTGGCAGAGATGATGAAGAGACAGTACATTGTCTGCCCTTTAAAGTTGTTGGAACATGTTACTCATCATCAAGACAAAAAGCTCTTGAAAGAGTGTATGATTTCCTCCATGTTTACAACAGACCAGTTTTTGCTAAAATAGTGGCAGAGCCAGATAACCATGTAGACAAAAATGCCATTGCTGTGTATGTAATGACAGAAGACGAATATGAAAAAGTTGGTTACATACCAAGAGAACTGACTACGTACTAGCATGGCCCATTAAAAGAGTCAGCACTGGATGTTTCAGTGCAGCATGTGCGGTTATGTGTAAAATATTTATTAGCAGGATATTACATAACTCTGAATATTTCCAAGAAAGGTGTTTGGAATAGTTTTGTTATCCAAGCTAGCTTTATATTTATTAAATGACTAGCAGTTAATTAAAATATATAAGCTTACAATGCCAATAGTAGATTGACTTCTTCACTCAAATGTACACAGTACGTACTAGATTAATTAAGCCGCATTGTATATTAAATGACGAGTAATTACGACAACAGTATAAGCACGCGAAAATAGATTTCAATATTAAAATAATCTCCCTTAAAAGCTATATTTACACACAACGAACAACGGTTGATCGGGCCTTTTTCATGTTTTGCGAAATGTTAATGACAAATGTTGCCAGTTAATCATTCGCGGTGTGTAAACGTACCTTACACAGGCAGTGTGATACGACTGACACAGGCATAGTGCATATTAAACACTTTTGGGGGGAAATTGATTCTCTTCATTGCATGCAGTATTGACAATGTTACAGTAAATGTGGAGGCAACTCCACAGGTGCCTTGTGAAACTTTGCCCTTGCTGTTAATTGTCCTTTCTACGGAAGAGATGCTCGATTTGACACAAATATGCCTGGATCTCCCCTACGTGACAACTTTACTTGGTCAAGTCTCTCTACAGCATCTTTCTTTGTTGGCTCATCTTTCTTTGTTGTAGCGGTCTTTGGCCCCTGTCCAGTAAAAAAAAATTAAATCTGGTTGGATCCTTTTGTTGAATTCATTCAATATCTTTGCTTGTGCTTCATGGAATTGTTTCAGGTCAAAGATATCCCCCAACATTTCATGAAGTAGCGAAAACATGCCTTCGACGTCGTCATCAGTTGCGGAAGCTCGTGGATGCTCCGGAGGAAGTTGTCTTGATATACAGGGTGTATCAAAAAAAGTGCAATCCTCGACTGAAATGTAAATTGCTAAACAAATAATAGACGAAACCGTTAAAGTTTACATTCATTTTAAAGCGTAGCCATTCAGCTTTCTAACAGTGGGTTGTTTCTTAAATTTGACTCATTGGTTCGCGGGTAATAATACTTTACGTTATTGCGATTGGAGATTAAAAAAATTGAGATGCAATAACAAATTGTTCTCATGAAAATAACTGATTTTTTCATTAAAACAAAAAAATGTTGCATTTTATTAAATGGATTGTAACAATAAGTATAATTACGGCTTTTCTTCCACTATTTTTAACTCAGTTTGAAACTTCAAATGCGATATAATTTTGGCTTAGACCATCTAAGCTGACTGACATCAACTTGCTATAATTTCTGTTTACATTACATCGCAATTCGATGACACTCTGGCTCAGACACCAGAATGTTTTGACGATTTTTAGCATTTGTTTAGGATTTTCAAACAACCTGGTCTCTTTTAAAATACTTTTAATTTGTTCTTACGTGGTTTTCAGATGTAGTGACGACAACATTAAAGTTTAAAGAAGAAAATTCTAACATTTAAACCGACTAAACAATAACATAGTAAACTTGCATAATTAAACAGCAACTAAAA